ATTGAGTCCACTGATATTATGAGATATTAATAACCAGTGGTTTTTTAGTCCTGGAAAGCTTAATTGTCAGTTTGATTGGATTGATAATCATCTAGGAACCCATGATAGTTTTTTTAGGCAATGTTAGATCTTAAGATCTCTGATCCAACAAATGGATGATTTTTTCCTAACTTTTTTCATATGGTTCTACAGTGGGAGGATATGGATGGAAGGAGGAAAGGAAGTGGGAACCCCACACACACACACACACCGAAGAAGTGGTTCATGTTCGGGTTCATGTTTTCATGTATTTTACTGCCATTGGAAGTACAATCATTGCTCTCAGGTGGATTGGCATAGTGGAGAAAGACCATTGCCATCTTTAAGGCCACCTTAAAGTGCTTGCTTGAGAAAGGTAGGGCTATGGGAAGAGATCAGTTTGCCCAGCCCACATCTGGAAACAGGACCCTTGTTTTTGAGCCTCCTTGTAAAGTTCAGAGCTAAACCTGGATCAGTGCTAGTTATGGAGACCTGAAATGATTTCCTTAATAACCATTCTGCTCTCTTGTCATTTTCGCTTTGTTGATTCTAGATATTCCCCACCACTCTTCCAGCTAAATCAATTCTATGCCCATCTTTGAATTTCCTCTGCAATGACCATGGATCTTTATTCAGTACTATCTTTTCCTTATTACAATAACACATTGTTGATTAAAATAGGATATATTTTATTCTATAGTATCCTAAAGTAGGATTATTCTGGTACATAGATCTATTGCCAGCACTCAGAAAGCAGAACGATCTCAATTTAGAGATCATCCTGTACCACACAGTGAGAACCTATAGTTTTAAGAAAAACTGCCTACATTAGCTTGTATCAGGCTTTATTCATTTTTGTTTCAGCAATCACAGAATTTATTCCTGGCTTTCACGATATAATTAAGTTTTCAGACTGGTTGAGAATGAAGGCAGATCAATGAGACACCTCAAGGTCCTAGTACTGTCAAACAGAAAACTATTTATTTGGCATTTTAAAGTTCTATTATTTTCTTATCAATCTCTGGGGTAAATCCACGAAATCATCTATTCTTCATGTTTAAGCTATCAGCTAAATATTTGCCTCAGGAAGGAGACCATGTCAACTATAAATGCTCTTCTTAAGGCCTTCTGTTGAGAAATAATGATTGCCTTGTTGTCAGGCAAGGTCTGTGAAGTAAATGAAAGAATGGGTGAAGGTACTAGATTTTATCAGGATGCCATCTTGCAGTGTGGTGATATCAACACATGAAAGAGTAAGAAAGGAAGATAATGGGTGTTTGAGGCTAGTCTGGCCTACAGTGGGTTACTCTGTCTCAAACAACAATAGCAGCAACAACAAATAAATCAAAGGTGGGTGTATGATGCTGTCTAAATAGTATGACTCAGTGGGCAATTTATGATTTCATCATGTCTCTTCACAGATCAAAATACAGATCTTTGGGAACATTTGGCTGACAAGATAACCACTCTAGAGGCTGAACACATTGACACCTTCATTGAGAGTGTGAAGGCCAAGAATAAGGCAAGGAGGGTATGCCCCCCTCTTTACCTCCCAGACTGCAGGGACTTCACTTTGCAGACAAAAAGCTAGAATATGAATATACTTATTTCTTATGACAACATACATAGTCCTGCACCATGTCCTCCATCTTAAGGGCACTTATTAATTTTTCAGCCAGAATTATCTGTAGTCATTGATAGCATTAGTCTGCTGTATGACTTTCTACCCCAGTTAAAGTTTAGAAATTGCAAGCTAATTATAGTTGAACCTCTGTTAAAACTGTTGCTAAAGTGTTTTTTATGATAGCATTAAAAAACAAGGCAGAATGTTGTATACATAATAAATAAATAAATCTTTAAAAAAAAACAAAAGCCAAATATAACAAAATAAAAAAAAATCTACCAACCACCTGTGGGGTTTGAATGAGAATATCTTTCATAGACCCTTGCATTTGAACACTTGTTTCCCAGGAGGTGACACTGTTTGGGGAAGTCTAAGAGAAGTGGCCTTCATGAGGATATAGAATATTAGGGGTAGCCTTGGAGGTTTCAAAGCCATCCCTACTTTGCTGTCTTCTTGCGTATAGTTAAAAATGTGAGCTGTGCATCTCCTTCCTCCTGAGCTATTATTAGCCAACACTACCGAGAGTGGTGCCATCAGAAATGGAGAACAGGGTTCAGCTGTGGATATAACAGAAAAGGAAGGACCTTGGGGATATGACTTCAAAAACTCAGCTTTATTCTAAATATGGGGAAAAAAGAAGTGGTGATCTAAAGCTGAGAAATCACCTAATTTGAATTAAACATCGTGCACCTATCATTAAAACTGAGTTAATTGCAGCACAGTCCTGTGAAACAAACTAGTTACTTAAGTTCCTTGTGCTCAGTAAGGGAAAAGCATTTACAGGGAACTATATCAAGGGTCATCCTTGAGATAAATCATGCAGGAAGCCTAGAGACATCCTCCAAGTAAGGGAAGGTAGAGAGCAGGGTGTCTCACTGGGAGGGAGTCCTTCCTGTTGCCAAGCATGGAGAAAGCAGTCTGGACTTTGTAGACTTAGCAGGACCTTCCAACCTATACCCCCTGTTTTATTTTATAATGGAGAACCTGTCATCTGTGTTGAATGGTCCGCGGCCTGAAAGAGAACCATGGACTGATTGGTGGAAATTTGTAGCAATTTTGGTAGTCTGCTGCCAGAGGAACTGAATAAGGCAGGGAGCAAAATAAAACATAGCGTAATCAAAGAACTGATAAAGGGTAGGGGGCAGGAAAACACGGGGTCATTAAAAAAGCTAAGCGATTCTACAGGCTGGAATTTTGAGAGCAAGTCTTTGAGGAAATTGTTTTGAGGGTTATTGACTTTAGTTTCAACCATATTCGATTCATCTACATAGAAGCAAGTTTCTTCCCCCAATACCAAGCAAGTACCCTCATGTCCATCAGTTATTAGATCCAATGTTCTGTATTGGAGCACAACCCCACCAAGAGAGCTATCAATGGAGGGATTCAAGGCCATTATTTGTGGACGCCATTGCCTGGTTGACTCTGTCTCTTATGTCTCCAGCCAGATGATGTGCTGGAATGATGGCAGTTACTGCAGCCCCTGCAGATCCAAGGGAGATGACAAGTTCAGTTCCTACAGCAATGGAAGGACTATCTCTGTCTCTGGATAGCAGCAGTGCTGATTCTTAATCCTTATGTAGATAGACCTGTGGGATAATCACAACGGGGGTGCAAAAGCCTGCCAGGGGAGTTTCTATGAGGAAGTAAAGTTAAAAATTAGTTTAAAAAGTTTGATACTGACCAAGATGGAATTTGGTCAGGACCACCATCTGGAAACTCTTCAGCCATGTGTCCTAAAGATGTGTTGTTTTGGTTTATATGAATAAAATCGATAGGCTAATATACCTTTTTTTGAGACTTTATTGCTATTTTTAAGAGCTACAATTTTGGGAATCCCAGGAAAATACCTAGTCCTTAGGCTGGTGTTGCTCACAGGTTAATTTTGGGTTGATCAGTTAATTTGTATCCTGTGTCAAATCCTTGACTCTATGATGGGTGCCATTTTATATTAGGATCTCATAACCATTAGTTTAATGGTACTGAGATAAGAATTATCATCTAGTCATAATATCAGTGATGTAAAAGTCAACAGTAATTGACAGAAGGCAGAAGGGTCAAAGGCCCTGTGATGTATAATATCTCTTTGTTCTTCAAAAAACAGGCCAAGTGTTCCATCATATTATAGAACCATTTTAATTTATGAATTTACCTTTAAATTAATAATATTTAATTATTAATAAATTCATTAATAAATATGATCCCATTTTTTGTATATCAATTGGCATTATAGGTAGTCATTTGGTCGTCTATGTCAGGGAGTTTTCTTTTGACTTGACTCTGTTTACCAATAATTAAAAGGTAGTAACTGCTTCCAACTGAGCTGGGGTATAGGTTGTTAAGGCCCAGGAAAGCTGAAGAGCTAGTTAAAGTCTGGGCAGTAGGGCATTCATCAGAAATATCTGATTAACTATTTCAGGTGAAGGGACAGGGAACATTCATATCACATTAACTGGTTCATGTTAGTTTTCAGCAGGTCCAGAGCCCAGCAGTTTGTAGATTGCAGGTCCCTGGATGGTGATTGTCAGCCAAGTGGGAACCAGGTGAGATAGAGACAGGACAGAAATGTCTTTAGTTCTGTATTTAGATGAGAAACACCTGTAGGTCTATATTTAGAAGACAACCAAAGAAAACTTAAAATTGTGAGCTTGTGGCACAACAAGTAGTCTGTATTTCAATAGCTAAATTAATACCTTGCCAGAATTCCATTGACTAATGTTAATGCTCTGAAATTTTGAAATTTTAGTGTAACAATAGCATAGAAGAGGCAAGAAACCCAAAACATTTTTATATACCTTAAGCCATTTGTATACCTTTACAAATTGTATACATCCATGTATCTCAAAATACTTTTCTTAGATCCTTACAATTCAGTGTGAACAACTGAGATAATTCATTACCTCTGGACCTTTCTGGCTCCTTGGAACATGGATCCAGCAGGCACTGCTGCCAGGAATATTTGTGTGCATGCTGTAGGGGCGGCAGCTTGAGACATTGCAGGAAGGGGCAGATACCTCTACACTTCTGACTCCATGTTGAAACAAAGGTAGGGAGAGGAGATTTATGTAGTTTAGGAAGAGAGAGCAGAGAGAAATAGCAGGTTTTGGAGAAAAATAAGAGTCAAAAGCAGAGAATCTCTTTTCATTTTTTTGATTGCTCAGACCCATGCCTCAGCAGTAGCAACCAGTGACACTGCCTATGCTATTAACTAAGGCCACAGCAGCTGCTATGTGGTCCCACCCCTTGTGCTGTGTGTTGGCAGAGACACAACCTTTGCAGCACTGGCAGGGAGACAGGCTCTGCCCTTGCCCACGTGATAGACAAAGGCTTTGCCCTGTATGCATTCAAGTGAGCACAACTGGGACAGGCTGGAGCTACAACCTTGTGAACACCATGCTTTAGCTGGAGAGAGACAGAATTCCCCATGAGAGAATCAAAAGTAAACCAGAGGCAGGACAAAAGAAACTTGCAGGTCCTGGGACGGATGGCCAGGCAAAAAATATCATTACCCGCAGGTAATGTCAGGGAGAATACCCACAAGCCCTAAGAATCCTGGGGACTCTTGTTCACAGGTAACAGCGATGGGTCTCCTTCTTCCGGGATCATTGGCCATAGGTCCCTGAGGTGGAGGGAACAAAAGCTGGCAACAGTAACTTGGGAATTACTGATTAAACAGCAGACTCCTATTACAGCTGGGTTAGTGGCAGCACCAACCCATGAAAATAGCTAGAGCATGTTACTTAATTACCATATGGTCAGCAGAGGAAGAACATTAAGGGTTGAGGAGGCCCAAAAATGTGAACCTATTCCATCTTGTCTGAAGGTCAGAGAGTTTCAGCTTGTTCAAAGTTGTTGACAGCAACTGTGACTATACACTCTGACCTAGGGTGCAGTTACTTGGTGTTTTCAAAGTCAAGATAGTCAATGGAGGTAGATCCACTCCTCCCTGACCAAAGGTCAGAGAATTCAAGCATAGTTCTTCTCTTTTTTTTGAATTACGAAGTTTAACTGAGGGAGTGGCTGCCTTCAGCATACTTGTACTTGGGTGGGTTTACTGACTAAATAACAGAATGCTTTCCTCATGATTTAATGGCTTGATGTCTCAAAGTACTGAAACAAGTAACTGTTATTGTTGTTCTTTATGTGATGTTAAAGCAGCGTGTTGCCTTCTTCTCCCATTTTGTATTAGGGTATAAATGTGTATGGAAAATTAAACATGGGCAAACTTAGAACTCAGAACTCAGTATACAGGAGAGACTGAGCAGCCCTCAGATACTAGTCTATGTCTCTGTAAGTCTTTCTTATCTTTGTTCCTTCTACTTAGCATTTTCTAATCCTCATGCCTCCTACCCTGCAATGTGTCCCCTGCAGCAGCTATGATTGTGGCAGAAGTCACCACAAAAAGGTGCCTCTACAAAGGGTCATCCTTGAGATAAGTCAGTCACGGAGTTTAGAGACATCCTCCAAATAAAGGCAGGTAGAGAGCAAGAAACCTCTCTGAATAGGGCATCCTTCCTGTTGCTGAGTTGAGAGAAAACTACAAGACAGGGGAAGACTGTAACCTCTGACCAGCAGGAACTCCCAACAGCTCCCTGCTTCTGCTGCCATCAGGGACTCTAACCCTCTTTAACTGTAAGCTCAAAAAAAAAAAAATCGCTTCCTTTTATATGTTTCCTTTATGAGGATATTTTATCACAATAATAGAAAAGTAAGTAACTAATATACCAAGCAGCAAAAAACAAGAGAAAGCAAAGGGAAACAAAACAAAACAGAAACAAGCTCTGTGCAGCAAGCAAGTGAAAGTGGACTTCAGAATTTTACCTCCCTTTCCTTATAGCCTTGCTGGATGAAAACTTGTGTTTGTGCGTCCTTCCTCAGCCCATTGTACGTGTGTGTGGATCTTCTCACAGGAAGAATTAGAAGACTGGAAGTATAGTTCAGTAACTGATCCCTGGCCTACCATGTTGGGTTTAATTCCTTGCACTTACTTCCCAAATAAAATAATAGAAACTGTAGGTACCCAGGTTTTTCCCCCTTTTCTTCTTGGCGATTTGCAGGGCTGTTTGACCTCTGGCTCCCTGGCCTCTCTGCTCTGCACTGGCCTGAGGGTATAGCTTAGAAAGAACTTGACTCTCTTTTGTTATGGTAATTTCACCTGTAAACAAGGTTCCAGCTGAGGGCCCTATACACCTGCCACACCCGCAGCTGATTCTGGCCTTAGGCTCCGGGTGCCTGTCATCCTCTCCCACTGCTCCTGATGGGAGGGGGCCTTGCCCTTTTGTCCCCTTTGCCCACTAATATATATATATATATACCTGACTTGAGTTTAATAAAGTTGCCATTTGCTCTTTGGTGAATGAGCAGGTCTCTTTGTGTCTGTGTGTTTAAACCCTTAGGACAATCGTCCATTCTCATGGACTCGAGTCAGGAAAGCACCTGTTTCGAGGTCTGGGTATTCACAGAAAAGTGTGGAGGCTAACAAGAAACCAAGACAACAACAGAGAATGTTTAAAAAAAAAAAAGCTAGCCCCTATGGCAGAATAATTACAACCCAGGGTTATTTTCTTTAGGGTGTGAGAGCTGCTAAGCCTTTAAAAAGTAAATATAAGGGTTTCTAGTTCCATGACTGCCTTGCTCTGAGCTGTAACTGCTTCTAACCTTTATTTGCTGCTTTCCCAGAGCAGTTGGTTTTCTTTCAGATGAAGGTAATTAAAGAGCAAATGACCAGTAAATTGAGATGTGAACTCTGAAATACTGTATCATAAACAGATTTGGTGGAGTCTCGTGTGAAAACCAGTTGTCATTTATCCTGACAATACATGTCTGTGGACTGTATCTGGATGGATGAAGGGGTCAGTGTCTTTCTTGTCTTGTAATTTTGGAATCAGTTTTGTCATTTATTTGTGTGTGCATGCGTGTATGAATGTGGTCCTGGGATGCAGAGTTCAGGGGTAAGTTTTAGACTTAGTTGTCCTCTTTCACTTCATAAATCCCAGGGACAGAATTCAAGACTCTAGGGTGCCTAGAAGCACCTTTACCTGCAGAACCATCATGCCAGGCCCTGTAATTTTTTCTTTTTAATGAAGACACATGTTTTTCATTCAAAATATCCTGGTTGTGATTTTCCATTCCTATATTCCTTCCAGTTCCTCTCCACATTCCTTTCTGCTAAGCTGGAAAACAGTGAGCTCTAGCAATTCTGTCTCTGCCCCCTATGGACATTGATTTACAGGTAGGTGTGCACAGGACACATGACTAATTTTATGAGTGCTGGGATCTAGACTCTGGTCCTCATGATTGTGCAACAATGCTCTTAATTGATGAGTTCTATTCAATCTGACTTTCTTTTTCTTCCTTTTTTTACTTCCTTCATTCCTTCCTTTTTTCCTTGCTTGCTTGCTTCCTTGCTTCCTTCCTTCCTTCCTTCTTTCTTTCTATTTCTTTTGTTGTTTTTAGACAAGATAGACTAAGCTTGAAGCTTGGGGTGATGGTCCTCCTTCAATCTATGACTTCTGGGTTTATAGGCTTGTGTCACCACACCTGACAAAGTTCCTTTTGCTTGGCCTATGAATCTGATTTTTCTGAACAACCCTCAAAGTAAAGTGAAACCAACCATAATTGAAACACAGGAAAAAGTTACTAGTACAGTACATGTTCATGAGTTTGGATTCTATTCTATTGTGATCATTTTATCACTGCTTTCTAGATATCATATTCAAGGGTCCATTTGAGAATGTCATCTTTGCTTCATAGACAGCATAGGAGGTTAAAAATACTTATCATCTATGTAGGAAACCATCCCTTTTTCTTTCTGAAGATTTTCTAGAAAAAGAGGATAAAACAAATTAAAAGGAAATACATTGTTATAATGGTTTTGGTATTCGTATACCTATGATACCAACACTCAGGCTGATGAGGCAATAGGATCATGAATTCAAGAGCAGACTGGCTATTGTGTCAAGACTCTGTACACAACCAAACAAAATGAGAAGAAAGCACCTGTGCAAACACTCCTTGCTCAGCAGTTAAGAGACCTGGCTGCTCTTACAGAGGACACTGGTTCAATTCCCAGCACCCTTACATTACATCTGTAATTCCAGGACAATGTGTCCGATACCATCTTCTAGAATTCTCAGGAACCAGGCATGCATGTGGCACACAGACATACATTACAGACAAAACACCCATATACAGAAAATGAAAATAGTGTTAATTATAAATAACCAATAATTTCCAGCAACAACTGTGTGATAAACAGCACCTTCAGCATCTGTGATGAGCAGGACGTCCTATTCAATATCTTCTGGGGACCTGTTCAGAGGTCAGTTCTAGGGTACTGACACACAGGAATGATATGAACCTTCTTGGAGACATGGGGGGAAGTAAAAATGTTTTCTTCTTATGCATCTTAAATTTGCTATGGGCCTAGAAATTTGGCAGAATAAAGGAGAGCTTACCAGGAGACAAACGATGAACAAGCAGTTCCTTAACACATCTTTCAGTGAGGACACAAATCCAGCCTCTTGGCCAAAATTTGTCTGTTGACCCCAGAGGCAGCAGCCTACAACTGGCAGTAGGACAATTGTAGAACACAGGGCAAAATGAATAGACTTAGAATATGAAGATCATTTGTAGGGTCAAGTATCTGTGGATTCTGGATTTCTGGGAGGCAATTAAGAGTCCATATAGAATTTGAAAGAAGGTTTTAACACATTCAGGAATGTGTACTAGATTCTGTTCGCTTTATATCTCTAGTTAGTTAACTGATTATTTCCATCCTCCATCCCTACTCTTTCCCATTCTTTAGGATAAGGGTTTACTCATAGCATTATTGTTACCAAGAACCTAGGGCAAGGGCAAACCCTGGCTGTGGGATATCCAAAAACCTACCACAATTCATCAGTGAAAGATGATTTATAGCACAAAGCAAAGGATGTAGCTTACTAACTATAGTCATACTGGGGAGAGCAATAGATAAACTAGTCTAGTGACCCCAAATCTGGCTTCTGGGTACTGACATAAGCTTTAGGTTTAAACAGAGGAAGAGCTGGGGCAGTTAGTCAGAGGCAGATGTTTTAAGCTGTCTTGATCAAAGTGTGGTTGTTTTATTATTACATTAGTTTTGGTTCAGCGAAGCTTTGAAGGAATCATCATTGTTATCACTTGTGGAATGCTGTTCATTGTGGCTATTGCTGATTGACAGTGAGACACCAGCACAGATAACAGCCCTCATTTGGAGGAAGATAATTCCGGGAGGCTTGCTGTGATTTGTTGTTGAGTTTACCTCTTTGTCATAAAGGTGTTTACTCACGGAATACAAGGTGACTACAGGTTTAGGACAATGACAAGAGACATTTAGGTGATTTGGGGAAGTCTGAAGAGATTTTAAGGGCTGACAATAACATGCCTTTGTCACTGTTATCTCTAGCACTATGGAAACAGAGCACATTTTTGTAAGTTTTTTTATTTTATTGATGAGAGAATCTATGAGGCCTCAAAGAGGAGAATCTGAAGATGGTTTTATTAAGGTTAGATTAAACAACAGGGTAAGTGGACAGGAGAATTCAGCACTTGTTAGGAAAAGGGAGAAGGATAGAGGGAGGAGAAGGAGGACAGCAAGGTATACTTTAAATAGAATCTTTAGGTAAATGACACTCCTTACAGTACAAGGTAGACACAATGAATAAAGAAAGAACTGGATACTCACGGGTTTCTCTTATGTATAAGAAAGCTGTTTCTCTTAGTCTATTTGCTTTTAATACTATTTTTTACAACATTAAGCTCTTCAGCATGCATATATTTGTATTGAGACTATTTCCACAAACTCCCCTTCTCCTTGTTTTCATTGCTCTTTCTCTCATAAGTCTCCTTTGTCTTCCTGAATGTTTTACTTCAATATCATTCCACAGATAGATATAGACACATATGGAAATGGTTTAATATAGAATGTAATCATCAATGAAAGAAAACATTCAGTATTTTTCCTCTGAGATTATTAAGTGTATTAATGGAATATTATGAAACTATTTTTTACAATCTAAGAGAGTGGAAATTTTTCTGGACCTCATTTGGTTAATTTGTTATTTAACTTTGGTTAATAACAAATCTTGTGGTCTCTCAAGACTTAATGACTCTTAGCCCTGTGTACTTACATGGCTTGCTTATCCTTCTCCCTTTTTGGTATTCATGATAGCTTTCTGTTTTCCCACTCGTGGCCACCCTAGAGTGCAGACGTCCAATTAAACCTTGATATGTTTTAATTTGGTCTGATTTGGATTATTTGCATCAGCAGAGAGCCGTGTCTTTAAGGAATATTCCTAAGAGGGATAATATACAATGAAAGAATTAATGAATTCAGGCAAAATTCTGACCCTGCCAAGAGATGAGGATGGACTGTAAATTACAAGATAAATTATAGTGCTATTGGAATACCAGCTGTAGTATTTCAAATGAGGAAGTGTAACGTATCTGTGAGCAAAGTGCTACTTAGGGTTTTGTAATAATAGCTGACTTTCTGAATTAATTTAGAGTGTAATTTGCCAACATGTTTTTTGAGCTGCATTAATAGATATTAGAACAATGTAAGGTGACAGAGGCTGGCACGATGAATCTTATTTAATGGTGATGTAGGAGCCATGAAGAACCCAAAACTCAAGCACATATGCTGAGCTTAATAAACAAAATTCATGAGGTTGGTAGTGACTGAGCTGGAAAAGAACAGGATATTACAGAAGAAAACAGCTGTTTAAACAAAGGCAAGATTCCAGAGATTCATCTGTGATATAAACCTAGTTTTTCTTGAATAGAACTTATTAAACAAGCAAAACAGAGAGAATCTGAATTTTGAGTGAAATCTTAACATATGGAAGAAGAAAATTAGATAACTAAATTAAAGGTGAATATTCCAAAGGAATTTTGCTGTCTGTGTGCTTGGGCACAGATGTCAAGCTTTGTTTGAGAAGATTTATAAAATGTTTTTGTTAAGATTTATAAAACAAATACAGGGTGAAGAAATTAACTATGGTTCTATATCAGAATTCATGTTTAGAAATGAACACCCTGATGATAGCTGCATCTTATAAAGTAAGTCTGTTGTTATTATCAGGGACAGAATGTCACACCAGGCTTTTCTGTTTAGGAGCTAAAAATCCAAGGTCTTTTAATACATAAGCTTTCTGGGTGTGTTTGCTGTAGAGACCTGACGGGATTATAAGAAAGCCCATGGACTCACTCCAACTTTGAAGCCTTTGCAATCTTGGCCCCGCCTTTCTTGACAGAAATAAACCTTGCCTTTTATTCGGCTGAGGTTACTGAGGAAGGAGAGACAAGAGTCAGACTTCTTGGGCTGTGGACACCATGGATCGCAAACATAGTCGTTCAGTGAATCTGAATGATGGAAACTTGATGCCAGTGCTTGGATTTGGCACATTTGCTCCGGATGAAGTAAGTGGGCCTCTCGGGAACTAAAGCATTAGATATCAGCTATCCTGGAAGTGCGTTCAGAGGGCAGGAGACCTGCACCTGGTAGATGATTCACCTGGGCTTCCCTTTCCCTGTTTACAATTTACTTCTGTTCGTGATTGGGGATGCGTATTGGTACGTGGTGAGATGCCAAGATGTTAGGTCTGGAGATTTGGAGGTTAAAGATTTTGTAGGTGGATTATGTGTCATTATTGTTACTAACATTGTTTCCTGACAAATCTCAATGCTTGCTATATATTTAAGTACTTATGTCTGTAAGTATATTGAAACTTGATGTAAATATTCTTACTAATTTTTAGATTTTTATCATCTAAAGCTCATGCTTCTCCTGCATTTTACTCTTGGTTAGAAATTTCTATGTGCAATGGATGCAGGAGAAAATAGCTAACAGTTGGGGTATCAGACGGCAGCTTTGCTGTGAGTTTTTTGGAGGAAGATGTATTTATTAAAAAATTTCAACTATTTGAACAGGTTTTAAAATTTCATACAGGTACACAAGGTATTTCAATCTTATGCACCACTCATTCCACACCTCCAACTCCTCTCAGACTCTTACTTCACATTCCCAACTCCATTTCTTCTTCCCAATTTCTTCTTCTCCTCCTTCTCCTTCTCCTCCTTTTCCTCCTCCTTCTTCTTTTTCTCCTCCTTTTCCTCCTCCTTCTTCTCTCTTTAAATAACTCACTAAAATCATTAATACTGACTGTATGTACTTGAATATGAGGCTGTCCTCTAGAACATAGCCAACCTACTTGTGGCCATATGCTTGATTGAAGTAAGTGGATTTTCTATTTCCCAGAAGTCATTAACTGTCAGTAGCAGTTTTTCTGAGGGTATAGGGACAAGTTCTTGTCAGTCCATCCTCTGTGCATGCTGCAGTGTTGACTGAATTGATATTGTGGAGGCTTTCTTCGGACAACAACAGCTGCTGTCAGCTCATGAATGCAAACCGTTCCATCCCATCCAGAAGACATTGCTGTATAGCAGTTTTCTGTTTCGTGTTCCCTGGTTCTTACACTCTTTCTTCCTCCTCTTACATGATGTTCCCTGAGCCTCTTGAAGAAAGGGTGAGCAATAGAATTCTGATTTATGGGTGAGCCCTCTATGGACACCTGTTCTCTGGACTAAACAGTTGTGGGTCCTGGAGTTAGTCATTGTCTATGGCAAAAAGAAGCTTCTTTGTTGAAGACAGAGAGATGCACTAATTGATAGGCATAAAGATAAACATTTAGAACTTTTATAAAATGTCACTGAGAATCCACATTCTATTCATAAGTTAGTGTTGAAAACTTGCAAAATATAAAGTAGCAATGGAGATGGGATCACACTTCTTACCGAACACATTATGTACCCATCCAATAAGTCACTGTAGTGAACTGAAAGTGTCTAACACAGGTAATAGAAGCACTGGGTGGCTTGGGAAGGAGTATCTCCAAATGACAGGGATTAATATACTCCATGTTGGTGGAAGAATGACCACCAACATTATTAGTATTAGTATTGAACAGAACCAGTTTGTTTTAACTGACATTTATTACTGTTCCTAAAGATAAAATTGCATCTTAGGGAACAGAACAAAATCATTATTCCATAATGGTTTCACCTATAAAAGTAGATGTGATACATATCATTGAGAAGTAGAAAAAAAAACAAAAACTTCTTTTACAATCTAGTAGAAGTTTTTATTCTGAACGTGATTCTTATTCAATAAATGACCTCCCTATGGGGTCACTGCTGTAACCAAAGCCTATTCCATTGTATGCTTTGTGGTAGTGTTTGTCTATCTAAGTATTCTGGGGGCAAAACAAACACAGGATATCTGATTAAATCATTAAATTATATACTGATTGAAATTTGAGGAAATTTTGAAAATATTTTTATCCTGACTTTGTCCCTCAGCAGCAGTTATTAAGGTGTGGTCCTTGTCCTGGTAGCAATAACTGGTCAGAAGAGTAGTTATCAGCTCTCTGGGCATCTGCTACATCTAGATACTCTCACTGTGGATTTCTGGATATGAACTTAGCATCCTACCCTTCAATCTCCCTAGTTCTGATGCAGACCAAGGGACAGACTCATGTAAGCTTCCTGCATGCAACATTAGTGGATCAATTTTTGTCAGTAAGGATAAGTATTAAAATCAATAAACTAGTATTTAAACTAGAAAGGATAAATACACATTTGGTTCAGAGTATCATCTATGATGGCTATACTTTTGGTTTTGAATTAGTTATTTATTAAATATATGCAAGGAAATAAAAGAATAAATTATGAGGGGCAATCAGAGAGAGGCAGAAGATATATAGCAAAACATTAAATCAGGGACTGAAAAACTTCTAATAGAAACTAGCTGTGAGAACCCCATTGAGGTAACCAGATGGAATTTTCCAGTTAAAAGTACATCATGGGCAGAGTGAAGTATCTCCTTGGGTGAGGGTATCAAGTAACTGAACAAATAACAGGAGAAAGAGTTGACATCATCAAATTGGATGCTCACTGCATCCAGCAAGAACTAACTGGGGAAACTGAAGCAGTAAACTGGACTTCCTTATTTAGCTCTCTCTCCCTATGAATGAGCTTTCTGTGGAACAACTTTCTTCTTCTCATTCTCCTTTTCCTCATCCTCTTTCTTCTCTGTGCCTTAGAATTTTTCTTCTGGTGCTGTTTTCCTGCTAGCTAGTTCCTTCCAACTAATCTTATTGAATGAAACTTACATTGACATGCTTCATAAGAATTCCACATCACTAATTTATTCAGTCAAGGTTTAGAAGTTAACCTTTCATAGTCTGTATCTCCAGATAGACTGTAAATCTATTATCAAGTTTGTATCATCAAACAAGATCAACCATAGGTCTGACAGCAACTCGGAAATTAATGTGATGGAGATATAAATGGCTTTTCCATCCTGAGTTGACCACATCTCCAACTTTTCCTACTCTTGTCTTATAGATTCCAAAGAGTAAGGCTAATGAGGCCACCAAAATAGCCATTGATGTAGGTTTCCGTCACATAGATGCTGCATACTTCTACCAAAATGAGGAAGAAGTTGGACAGGCCCTCCGAGACAAGATGGCTGATGGAACTGTGAAGAGAGAGGATTTATTCTACACCACCAAGGTGAGCACTTGTGGACAGAATGGCTAGAAGTCACTGCCAGCACAGATATGTTACTGGGGAAGGAAACACCACACCCTGGGTCTCAGATTGAATCATGGATTTATAGCAAAGACACATTATAGGAAAATAGTGAACAGGACCAACAGAATGACTCAGTAGAAAAAGATGTAGATTGTCATGCCTGGTAACCTTTTATCCCTGGCAAGGGTGTGATAGAAGAAAAATGATTCTTGATATCTTACCTTTATGTGTCTGGAACCCATGCACAGGCATTGGTGGTCTCTCTCTCAACACACACACATTTGCACACACCAAAATAATGATAAAAGATTAAAAAAGAAAAATCTTGTTTTGCTAGAAGTGTATTCAATGTGGTAGCTACTCAGTATCTCTGAATATTAGACATTGTCTAGATATAAAGTAAGAATGCAGTTCTGTTGGATAATCTCTCCTCTCTGGGTCCCGAGTAACTAATTCTTCAGTTGATTCCCAAGTGAGGTTGAGAATACTGTTCATGAAAGGGAAAATCCTCTTCTGAAATCTTCACTGAATGGTCTGATATTTGTAATGTTTTCTTAGGTGGGAAGGTAGCCTTCCAGTGTGATTCCATCTACAAATGTTTCCTACTTATGTTTACATTGGTGACAGCTTGTTTTAGATGGGATCTCTTAGAATTGGTTCTGGATTTGCTAAGAACAGTAAATTCTTTGTATACTTTACTAATGTTTGTTCAGTTTCTTGAAGCCTCAACCAAGAGGATACATCACTCTACCCTGGATGGACTTTTAACTTGGAAATTCCATCTGGCTACCTCAATGGAGTGGGGTTTTCTACTAGATGTTGCTCGGCCTCCTGATTTAATGTTTTGCTATGCATCTTCTATATTTTCTCTCTATTTGTCCCACATCCAACTCACCATTTATTGACTCTTTTGAGACCAAAACTTCTAGTTCTTAAAACACTGAAATTGATTGTTTTCTAAATGCTACTCATTCACCTGACATTGTTATCACTCAAGTAAATCTCAGTATTCTATTGAGAATGTGATCTATGATAAACAGACAAAATTAAATGTGGTTATGGTCAGATTTGGGAAAATTTGGATGGGGGAAACTATGATACAAATTGTATAAAAATTTTAATAAAAATACATAAAAACGTAGCCCCAGATGCTCTTATCTTAGCTAAGACTACCATATCACATCTCAATCATTTCACCACAATGTGTGATTCTGTTTGGAAACTGTAGATTTGGTCGACTTTCCTTAGACCAGAGTTGGTTCGTCAGTGTCTGGAGAGATCACTGAAGAAACTTGGCCTGGATTATGTAGATCTCTGCCTTATTCATGAACCAATTGCTATGAAGGTAAGTTTTGGATTTTTATTCCATAGTTGTGTTATCTCAGGCCAATGAGATGTTTTTCTGGGTTTTTATTCACTGTGACACATTGATCTGAGATGAACAGAATAGATAAATGATTATGACTCTGCTTGACCTCTGAGAGACCACAGGGGCAAGACTTCTTAAAATGCTCATCCTCAGTCTTTAGGAGAGTTGAAATTCAAGGACTTCACTGCCTTCTATAGACCAGAGTACCCCAGGTTGTGGAGACTTCTAAGACTCCAGGTGGAGTTTCCATCTCCTCAGGGCATGTTCTTGCCTATGTCTGTCTCTCACTCTAGGACACAGAGATTTGAATTTGGGTAATGGGCAATTGGACTTGGGCTCCTTTGGGCCTCATGGTTTCATTTTCTTATCATGGTACATGTTTGCTGATCACATCAGAAAGACTCTTTAACTCAGAATTGAGTCATCATAAAGTGGAACAGAAGCTCATGATTAATAGCGAAAGTACCATTCTTTACACTATTCTGTCACTGGGACATGGAAATTCCAACAGGAAGAGCCATCATAGTTGGTGAGATTCAGTGCTTCATGAGGGTCCTGGGGGGAGAAAAGTGTCTTTGTATATGATGGAAGATATTCCGGTATAATCTATTAGATAATTTCACTTTTCTTTCTCCAGAGTCTCCCCTTAAAGACACAAGTGCACACGTGTATGTGCACACACTCTCACACACAGAGTGAATGTTGGATGAGGAAGCTCATTTGCCACTCAAAACTGACAATTAGAGAAAGTTGTGTTACCTTTGCTTTTCTCTCTGCATTCTAGCCTGGAGAGGAACTTGTGCCAAAGGATGCCAGTGGAAAAATTATTTTAGACGTTGTGGACATTTGTGATACATGGGAGGTATGTACTGCTGTAGGCAATAAGCACTGTGTGGTGTGAGAGGAACAAATTAATACAGAATGAAGAGATGGATTAATAGAAGAGATGGATTTTATTTCATTAACTGACAGGCCTAAGGCATATCATAATGCCTAGTCTTATAGCAGCTTACTATTCTGTGTTCAGTTGATATCTCTGGGAGGTCTGCTCATTTCTGTAGGGCAACAGATGAGGAGTAGGTATTGGAGAGAGAGGATATTGGGAAGAGTGGTGGTGGTGGTGGGGAACTGTGCCTGGAATATAATACATGAGAGAAGAAAAAAGCACAACAGCAACAACCACCACCATCCCTTCTCTGTCTTTCTGTAATCTCATCTGTAGAGGAGGAGTTGAGAGAGACTGAAGTTTAATTTTTAATCTTAATTATGATTTGAGGTAGACATTTCTTTGCTTTCTAGATCCCATTAATAATATAAGCTATATGAAGGGGATCAACTGAAAACCACTCAAGAAGGGTTACAATACTATTCCAGGACAGATAAAGACGTCTTTGGAGAAGTACAATCTGCCTTAGTACAGAGCAGGCTGTGATAGAGAATAAAACCTGCCACTATATACCTTATCCTGGTATGGGAGAATTGTCTGTATTCTGTCAATCATGTATTTTAATAAAACGCTGATTGGCCAGGCAGGAAGTATAGGCGGGTCAACCAGACAGGAAGTAGAGGCGGGGCAATGAGAATAGGAGAAGGCTCGGGAGGAGAAAGCTCCCTGAGCCATTCCTGTGCTGACCACCGAAGAGACAGCATGTAACCTGCCCAGCTGAAAAAGTTACTGAGCCGTGTGGCTAACATAGATAAGGATAATGGGGTAATATATGTTATAAGAGCTAATAAGTAGCCAGAGCTAAGGGCCAATCAGTTTATAACCTAATGTAGACTCTGTGATTTTCTTTGGGGCTTGCTGGCTGTAGGGTACTGGGTGGGACAGAAACCCCAACAAGCCGGCCTTCATGTTACATTATCCTGTATACAGTTTGCCAACATTAAAAAGAAAAGTAACAATACATTTTAACTAGCACAAGATTCTAGAATTTTTTGTCTTTGTATATAATGTATTTACTGAAGAGCCATTATAATCCTGGCATCACAACAGATGCCACTGAAGATTGTGGGGAAGGTAAGGGGAGACTTATATGTACTTGCTGTTTTCAATGTGCATGTAAATGAATGAGCAGACAAATATGTATTCCCTGAAGGTGAGTGCCTTAGGCAAGGCTGTATTCAAGTGTCAAAATTATTTTGAAATTGCAACCAAAATTATGTAAGTAAATGAAATTATGATGTAAGCAACTGGAATTATTATGTAAGTGTACAAATAAGTACAAAGAGAATCTCCAAAGGGCAGAGTACAAACAGGACTAACTACATACTTTCTTCCTCCCAGGCACTGGAGAAGTGTAAAGACTTAGGTTTAACCAAGTCCATTGGGGTGTCCAATTTCAACCACAAACAGCTGGAATTGATTCTGAACAAACCAGGGCTAAAATACAAGCCCGTTTGCAATCAGGTGAGCTCTAGTTCACCCTAGCCATGCCTTACCTTCTGTTCTTCACAAACTTCTTCCTTACATGATACTCCCCAAATCTCTGTTTCAAACCAGCTATTTAGGTTCTAGCTATGTTCACTGAAACGGGAAATATCCATGATGGCCCAGGTTGACTAGAGTGGGAAGAACAAGACAGGGGAAAGGCAGTTTGATTGACTAAAATCACAACTCTTGGAATACAACTGCTCAGTAACACAATGTGTGCTGTACTGAAATCATTTAAAATCTTAAAAAAAAACCTGATTGAATTGAAGCACAGCAAAATTATCTTGCTGCTCTATTGTTTTCGTGGCACCCTAGATAATTTGTGGTGGTTTCTTTCCTAAATTTAGAATGAAAATATTTATTAATAACATTTAAAGACTTTTAACCTTTGCAGAATTTAGAGCCACAAATGCACTGAGAATTGTGTAACTACAACTTCCTTCACTTGTGCCTATCAACACACTCAAGCAAAAATTTCTCTTCTATACAAATTTGTCATATACATACTATTTGAAGTTTTGAGGCAGGCATTATATCGTTTCAGCACATATTTTAAAAATACATAGTTTAAAATAATTAACAATTATAGTGTAATGGATTATTTAAAATGCTGCAGGATCCCTGGTGGTGGCAGGCAGCAGAAACGCTGCAAGTCCCCAAGCAGTGGCAGTGGGCCATGTGGCAGTGGCAGTAGGCCCTGAGAGCAGCCAGTCCCAGGCAGGGACAGCTGCAGGTCTTAAAGTGGTGGCTGGTTCAGGGCAGGGAGACATATGGTGGCGGGCAAGAAACAGAGACATGGATAGGCATGCCATGCCGAGTGAGGTTGGATATTTATTTAGTGGGTTCTGGAGGGAGAAGGGAAGAAGAGGAGTGGAGAGAGAGAAGAGAGAGACAGAAGGTGCCTCTCCATGAGGGAAGTTGAAAAGAGAGAGAACTCAGGCTGGAAGCTGAAGATCAGTCTGACTCAGGGAAGGGAGTGGGCATGGCTTGTCTCTTAAAGAGACAGGACAGACCACTACATTCCCATCTCTTTTTTATAATAAAAAGGTGGGAGGTTAGACACCACAGGAGAAAGGAATTGGGGTGGTGGATTCTCAAGACTTTTTCCTGCTTATTTGTGGGCACCGTCTTTGAGGGGAACCTGAGAAGGCTGGGTGCTGGCCACATCCTGGCATAGCTGGTCTCCTTGCTCCTGTCTGGTGTTTGTAGTATGGAAAATCTGGTGTCTCTTACACCTGTTTAAGGTATTGGTAGAACAGAGGACAAAGATTAAGGAAAAAAATTTAGGACTATGGAATTGAGGGGGATGTATTGGACCTGTTTAAGGTGGATCCTTCCATTTGGCTCCCTGGAACTCACAAGAATTCTTTGGGTTTGTGAAAACAGAAGTTTTAGACATATACTTGTATAAACAGTAGCATATTTATGTCAGAATGACTGTGACAGATATTTTTGCACAATTAAAAGTATTTTTAAGACTATGGAAGGCAGCATGAGAGAGAATTTTGATAACTTGTATTTGTCCTGACACTTTTATAACTTGCAGGTCTTGTATTTGTATTTTACTGAAATTTGTTTGGTGAGGTTGGAAATGGTTGATTTTAATATTAAAATACTAATAAAAGTACAGAAGAAAGTACTTCAGGAAAAATTTGAAACATATTTTACTTAAATAAATATACAAGTAGATCTGCCCTTAAGGCACTTTTAAAATCTGCATTACCTTGTTGGCTCATACACTCTAACACCGTTTTGTTTTGGAATTTTACAGGTAGAATGTCACCCATATCTCAACCAGAGCAAACTCCTGGAGTTCTGCAAGTCCAAAGACATTGTTCTAGTTGCCTACAGTGCCCTGGGATCCCACAGAGACCCAAACTGGTAATGAGACCTTTGGACTTTATTTCCTTACGTCAACAATTCCATGTTGACAAACTAACTTTTAACCTTGTGGGAAAGTTCAACTGTGAAGAAACAATTTCAACAGTGCAGGAGTTTCTCTGCACCAGGATTGAACTACAGGCTCACTAGTGGTCTTTTATTCTTGCTTTATCTGTCTACCTGTTTGCAGCACTAATAAGCATAGTTCTAAAAATAGATTTTAAGGCCCAGTTTACAGAGATTAGACTATGTATATCCTAGCCAGGCCATTTTGAAACGTAGGTGGAATGTAAAACCCACATTCACATCCTTTCTAGAAACTTCCTTATTTATACAATATTTAATGTTTAATTTAGGAGGGACTTAGAACCATCTTCCCTCATAAAATCAGCTGAAATTATACAGAAACCCAAAAGGGAATTCCCAGAAGAAAATATGACTGTCTTTCCAAGTGTTGATATTGACTTGCAGGGTATCTAACATGTTATAAGAGATTTTTAAAAGTTTATATGAAGCTGAATTTATGAACTTATAGTTTTATGTACATTGATAGGTTAAAATTCCATAGGTTTATGAAGCTAGTACTGCTAATACATTTATCAGTGAATTCTTAGTTCTGTTTGTAGATTCAGAGAAGATTTGCATATGCCCACACTGGTTGATGGTTTTTTTGTTTTGTTTTGTTTGTTTGTTTGTTTTTTGGTTAGCTTGACAATGATTAGACTTCTATGGTAAAACGGAGGAATCATAACTAAAAAAAAGTCTCCTTAAGATTGGCCAATTGGCAAGACTGTGTGGTATTGTCTTTATTAAAAATTGATGTATGAGGGCCCAGTCCACTGTGGGTGGGGCCACCATTGTGGTGCTGAACTATATAAGACAGCAAGTTGAGCAAGGCAGGGGCCACCTTCCTCCATGGCCTCTGCTTCAGCTCCTGCTGTGAACCCCTTTGAGGATGGACTGTGATGGGGAAGTGTAAGATGAGATGAGCCCTCTCCTTCCCAGGCTGTGTTTGTCATGATGCTTTATCATAGCAATGAAAACTGTAACTAAGACAGAGCATGAGAAAGAAGACATTTTGATGACTGTCAAAGACATTGTCTCTTGACCCAAGCTTTTAAGAGTGTAGCCTTTAATGTAAAAACTTGATTTTCTTAACTGAAACAAATTAAATAGAAATTAATCAATAATAATAATAAATGGATTTTGTATGCTTTTTAAGTTCTTATTACTTCTTAGACAGTTTTTTGCCATGTCTCAGTCTATTGGTTTTTATACTGTTCATTTGCTCTAGAGAAGTTTTGCCTGTTCTGTAGGAATGCTGTGCTTCTGGGTGAGGGGAATGGATTGAATTAGGGTCATGCAATGTAGAGCGGACTGTCTTCAAACTCATGGATGAGGACCTTTTTTTTAGTCTCCCAAGTGCTAGGATTGCAGACTTATGTTCTCATGCCTATCTGGAATTCACATATCTATGCTTGTGTGGCCTGTGTCATCACAATTACCTGAGCTCATTAAATTTTATAGCAATGCTCCTGAATTCTTTCCTTCCTTCCTCTCCATCTCCGTCTCTCTGTCTTTCTGTCTGTCTTTCTTTCTTTTTCTCTTTCCCTTCCTTCCTTCCTTTCTTTTCCCATCCTTCCCATACTTTTAGTTATCAATTAATGGTAGCTTGAAATTATCAATAGAAAAATTCTGGCAATATGCAATTCTTAATTTGAAATTGCATGATTATTCTAAGTAACTTAATGAAATCACATGCTGTCTGGGACAAGGAATATCCTTTTTCAGTGTGTCCTCACAAAATCTACTCCATGATTGCTAGTCATTTATTTGTTGTTTCATTTATCAGGACAACCATCATAACATGGCAGGGCTTATATTTAAAGAACCCTTATTTTATTTAATAAAGGTTCAAAAACATGAGAATAGAAGTGCTTGAAACTTGGATAGGGCAAAGAGAGGCACTTACTTCATTTGAAAATGGGCAAGTTCTCAGCTTAATGAAAGAGAAAATTTATACACTGAGATTTCTAAGATCCATGAAAAGAGTGAATCTTCTATCCTGAAACTGTCAAGAAGAAAAGGAAAATTCATGCTAGCTTTGAATACCATCAAATATAAGATTTAATTATTCATCAAACATAAGTTGAAAAAAGTATCATTTTATATACATATATATACATATTTATAGTATACATTGGGATCAGTGCTATTCCCACACCCTCAGAGGATAAAAGGGAGTATCTGTATTTCTGTTATATCCTATTAAATGGATATCTATACTACACAGTATTTATTTTCCCATCTATTTATGGGTAACTTAGTTGTTTACAATTGCTACAATGAAAAATAAATTGCTGTGAATACTAACAAAATTCTGCTTTAATTATACTATATTGTACTTCTCAAAGGTCTGGGAATATAGGTAAGGGGTCAACATAGTCCATATTTGTTATCTTTGTGAGTGTACATCTGCATTTTTTTCAGGGTAAGCAGTGATAGCCCATACCTTCTGGAGGAACCTATCTTAAAGACCATTGCCAAGAAACACAACAGATCTCCAGGCCAGGTTGCCCTGCGCTACCAGCTACAGAGGGGTGTGGTGGTTTTGGCCAAGAGCTTCAATGAGAAGAGAATCAAAGAGAACTTCGAGGTAAAGGCCCAGGGACATTTCTCCAGAATGAGACCTGGGGGGCAATTTCCCTCACATGGAAACAGTTCCTATTTATTTGCTTCCATGCATTGCTGCCATGTGCTACAGACAGCAGCTTGAAAGGGCAGCAGAGAAAACCTTGGGCAAAAGCCTGATTTTCCTTTATACTAGCTTTGTCTTTTACAATTTCTTTAACAAGCTGTATTGTATCTCCATTACTTCAATTGGTTGTGGAAGTCTTTTCAGATGGCATAGAACTTTAAATAACTTCATTTCTATTCTTTGTATTCTATGCTTTTCAAACTCCTGTTTGTACTAAGGACTACAGTTTGGATTATGATTAAATCCTAATACAACTGCTGGTTGGTTAACTCACTGCACATTTCCAATACATTTTTGCTTTATTTTTTAAATTCCATAGTTCTGGCCATGAGTATGTGTGTGTGTGTTTTTCATTAACTTTTAATTATTTAGTTATATGCTGGTGTGCTTTCTGAGGTATGGGATGTTATATATGGCCATTTTTCCTTTAATCGTTGGTGTTTCTTTATGAAGAAAAGGAGCTAGATAGATTTATAGACTTACCATATTAAGAAATCAATGATTAAAGTTATTCCATAGGGGCTGCAGAGATGGTTCAGAATTTAAGAGCGCTGGGTGCTCTTCCAGAGGTTCTGAGTTCAATTCCCAGCAACCATATGGTGGCTCATAGCCATCTGTAATGAGATCTGGTGCCCTCTTCTGGCCTGCAGGCATACATGGAGGCAGAATGTTGAATACATAATAAATAAGTAAATCTTCTAAAAAAAATAAAGAAATAAAGTTATTCCTTAAATGTTTTTTCATATGTGCACTAGCTAGTCTCTCCTAGCAGTCAGTGGTTTTTCATTTGCTTTGTTTAGAATCCCATAAAGTTAAAATTTACCCTATATTTAGTTTCTGTATGTATTGGTGTTTGAGGGCACACTCACCAGCACACAGTAGGTGACCAGAGGATAACTTGTGGGAATTGTTTCTCTCCTTCTACCACTGGACCTCAGGGATGGAGCAATGTGTCAGCAAGTATTATCACTGCAATATGGTAGCCATATTACTTAAAGAATGTATTTTTCAGAAGGACTTCTGGTGGATAGATGGAAGGACAGAGTCGTGGTTTCTTTTCCTATTACTGTGATAAAATATCCCAGCAAAAGCAACACTAGGTAGAGAGGGTTTATTCTGAATCACACTTCAGATTGATTACAGTCTACTATCACAGGGAAATTATAGTGGCAGGAGCCTGGGGAGCTGGTCACATTGTATCCACAGTCAAATGTAGAGAACGTTGAATGCATGCTCAGCACATCTCTGCGTTTTGCAGTCCCAGATCTCCTGCTCAGGGAATGATCCTACCCACAACAAGGATGGGTCTTCTCATATCAATTAGCATAACCAAGGTGATTCTATACAGGCGTGCCCTATGACTCATCTCACTGATGGTTCTAGATTCTATCAATTTAACTCTAAACTTTAACCATCACAGATACCTTTAATTTATAGAGATGATTAGACAGATATATTTAAATTTACATAATATAAATAAATGTAAATTATATATACATAATACAAGGAAAGTTATTTTGATAAAAAAGAATAATGTCTGACAATGTTTGAGAACATGAAATGATCATGTGATATGGATGAACAATTCATCAGGGGAAGATTTTCTTCAATTCAATAAAGTCTTGGAGAGGAGTTTGATTATGCCCTGTGACTTAGGGGTGTCTATTTAAAGTTGAATCAAACTCTAGGGTAGCAAATAAAGAAAAGTTCAACAAATTTTGGTGAGACTAATTCTAGTATTTCATCTATATTTGAAAATTAATTCAGGAGCTCTTTTTTTCCCGCCTTTGTTAAGATTGGAGGTTAATTAATGAGTCTTTCTTTTGTGAAATGAACCAAATTGGAAAGAAATGGGAAAAGAGGGTCCTACCATAGTCAGCCAAAAGTTCTGAGACCTGAGCCATGTGGAGGTCAATGGTGAATAAAATTCTTCTCTTAAAGCCACCCTTGGCGTTATCACCCTTATATTTCCAGGTATAGGGATGCTTCAACAGCTTATTTATTTATTATTTTTATTTTTTCTGAATCTGTCTTTCTTTCTAGGTGTTTGATTTTGAATTGACCCCAGAGGACATGAAAGTAATTGATGGCCTCAACAGAAATTTTCGATATGATAGTATGTCATTGTAAGTAATGCCGTTAGACTATTTTATAGGTTATTTGGTTTTTGTTAAGTAATGCCGTTAGACTATTTTATAGGTTATTTGGTTTTTGTAGCATGGAGGTGAAGCATGAAGATGTTCTAGAGGATCCAGAGAAGAATGATCAGTTTAGTTAAGCATTTGCTTTTGAATGAGTGAGTTATACACACACACACGCACACACACACGCACACACACATATCAAAGTAAAAAAATAAGTAGTGATAGATAGGTGGCAAGAATAATTAAATTGTGCACTCAAAATATCCAGAAGTTGACTGAGACAGCAACTTTAAAACAACCAGCCTGAGATCTCAATAGAGAGGGTCTCAAGCAGAGGACAGGGTCTACTCAGGGGAGACGCCTAGGTAAAAGGGCACTTGACAGCAGAAAGGTTGTGTTACTAAACTGGATGCTTACCAACATCCAGCAAAATCCAGCAGGGGAAGTTGAGGTACTTCCTAATAGACAGTTTTGAGCAGAGAAAAGTGAGCCCTGAGGGTGAGGATTCCAAGTAGAACAAACCCCAGAAGAGAAAGATAACATTAACCAAGTGGATGCTTAAAACATCCAGCAGGGACCTGGGAATACGAAGATCTACTAGTGACTGGTGGTGAGGAATTGAAGTCAAATTCAAGATTCAACAGAACCAGGGACTCTAGGATCTGCTGCTCAAGAATGCCTTTACTGGCATTCTGTGAAGTTTTCTTTATTTTGGAAAGCTCAGAGTTCAAAGGAGGGAGAGAGGAATGATGGAAAACATTCAGACTACTTCTTATCAACAGAAGTGCTCAGGAGACAGGAGATCTCTTGACTGGAGGGGGTTCTTTGAATAATGTCTTTGAGCACACAAAGCTGCACAGCTAATAAGGGGAGGGGACACACCTTACCCTTGGCATTCCTTGGCAGGTGGGAGTAAACAAAGCGCTATGGGAACAGAGTTCATACAGCAGGCCCGTATATTATTATATGCAGGTCACAGGGGAAGATGAGGCAGTTCCCACGGCTGAACTTCCGGCTTCTCTTTCCCATGGCAGGCAGTTTACACTATGGAAACCTCTCGATGTTCTCAAAAGCATGATATTTTCATTCTTGGGCTGTTTTACTGGTTTCTTCATTCCCTGTCAGAGATTTTTTGGGGGTGGGGGGATTCCAACCCTAGACAAGGGGCCTTGAAGGATACATTGAGACAAAAATACTTTGGGTCTTAACTGCAGGAAGCAGTTAAGGAGGGAGGAAGGGTAAGAGAGACAGATAGAGAGACAGAGACAGAGAAGGGGGAGGGGAGAAGTTGGGAGAGGCAGAGGCTGCTTCTTCCTGAGAGAAAGATGGGAAGAGAGGACCGAGGATGCAAGCAGGAAGGGAATGGGCATGGCTTGTCTCTTAAAGAGACAGAACATTACAGAAACAGCACAGGAAAGTATTTTAATACAGTGTCATTACAGAGGACATGCCTGGTTTTCAGAATAGGATTTTAACAAAGGCTTCTCTATGGACCTCAAAAGAGTGAAATTCCTTCTGAAGTTTATGATATGCAATGAGACTCAAAACAACCCCATTTCAAAACTGACCAATCAGGGGCTGTAGATTGGTTGGTTCAGCACTTCCCAAGCACCTCATAAAAACAGACATGATAGTCTAAACCATTATTCTCATCCCCTGGGAGATAGAAACAGGAGGATGAGAAGTTTAAGGTCACTCTTGATACAGTGTGAGTTCAACTAAAATACAGAATACATGTGACCTTGTCCCTCCAATGGTCAAAGTTGCATCACTGTGAACTGGTATTAAAGAACATGCTATGCCCTTTGGCTAAAATAAATGCCTTCGGGGCTCACCTGCCCATTAGACTCAGAGAACAGATTACCTATGGCTCATGATAAAGTAAGAGGCCCATGAAAATACTTTCTTATTAATGATTATTGTAGTCCAAAGAAATAAAAGAGAATTCAGTAATAAAGAATGTACAGTTATACATCAAGACTATTTTAACTTGTTTACACTAAAACCTATTCTAACTTTGTTCATCCTAAAGCAGTATAATGTGTACTTTGAATAATCTTTGTGGAAGATGAACTGTCAAAGGTGATATGAATAAGTCCTAGGGAAAACATAATTCTCTTTCAGCTTCCTTCTCTCAGTGTCCATTGACATTTGCCCTGGGACAGTCCTTTTTCAAGGTACGTCAAAGGTGTCCTTTGACCTCCACAAGCATGTTTTGGCACACAGACAATCATAATAAAATTCTAAGAAGAAAATAATTAAATCAATTGACCCACAACCTTAATCGCTGATGTATTCCATTGCATTTAGCAAGACAGGGTCCACAGAAGTTTTCCTGAGTTCTCAGATCATGACTGTCCTCATTTTGTCTATCAGAAGTGTGACTCATGAACAATCAGTGTTCCTTCTTCTCTTTCAGTGCGGAGGATCACCCTTATTATCCATTTTTAGAAGAATACTGAGTATGAGCTGTTAAACATTACAGAGACTCTCCTTCCTCCAAACAATGTGTTTCTGTATTTGGTAGAGTGGTCGAGAAGCAGGATTCCTGCCTCCATGTGTTTGTCAAATGTTACAAAAATCTCAAGTGTTTTTCCTGATGATTAAAAAATAACAGACAAATTACAGAGAATTTATATAATAAAAAGAAATATTTGATATATCTTTCTTGATTTTTATATAATTTCATGACTGCATTGTTATTTACAAAATTAAAATCAATTTTAATACATGAATCATACACTTTTAAATATATTGTTTTCAAATTATCAAACTATATTCAAGAATTTTAGAGCACTTTTCTGGTTGTAAAGAATAGGTCTCACTAACTTATTTGATTTCTTAGTTATCAAAGCAGGTTTGGCAGTGGAATGTATTACTTTCTTTTATTCCCTAACAAAATTTTGTTGATTATCTTTTTTTTCTTCCAGGCATTGCTTTGTATTATATTAAATTAGGAAAATTTAGGCTAAGTTTACATAAAAATATTTTTAAGTGAGGAGTTTTGTTGAGATAAATGGAGTAGCGGAAGACAAGGGAGAGAGAGAAGGAGAGAGAAAAAGAGAAAGATAGAGAGATATATAGAGAGAAAGAACATTTTGAGTATAAAAGTCTACTGGAAAAAGTAGGCTACTAACAAATTAAAACCTGAAGTATTCAATGAGAAATGGGGAGGGGTGGACTGGAGAAGGCTCAGAGGGTAAGAGGGTGTACTGTTCTTGCAATGTGGGTTCTAGCACACGTGTTGGCACTGCACAATTGCATGTAACTTTGCCTCCAGGATATCTAAGTCCATCTTTTGGCCTCTTTGGGCACACGTAATCATGTGCACTTACCTGCCCCACCCAGGACATACACATAATTAAAAAGCAAAAATAAGACTAAAAAAGAAATCAATAAGCATCTTTTAGAAACTAATTCTTCTTGATCTCTTACATTTTTTCTTTTAAATTTTACTTTTTGATGTTCTGTTTATTTGTGTTTTTGTTTTTATTTTTTCTTTGTTGTTTTCTATTTACTTATTTATTCTGTTCTTTATTTTTTAAAAAATCAGTTCTATGAGAATTTTGTATGCATTGTGTTCATACTTGCTGTGGGACAATGGTCTTGTACCCTGTAAAGTTTTGTAAGTTGTACTGGTTTAATAAAATGATGATTGTCCAGTAGCCAGGCAAAAATAGCAGAATTCTTGGAAGAGGAAAGGCTGAGTCTGCAGTCCTAACCCAGATGCAGAGGAAGCAACATGAGAATGCCTTGCTGATCAAAGGTGCCAAGCCACATTGCTGACACAGACAAGAATTATGGGTTAAGGTAGGCTGTAAGAGTTAATAAGAGGCCTGAGCTAATAGGCCAACCAGTTTATGATTAACGTAGACCTCTGTGTATTTCTTTGGGATTGAATGGCTGCAGGACCAGGTGGAACAGAAATCTCGGGCAATGCATACTTATACTCAACTCTTCCCAGATCCATTCTCCTTTCCTACCCATCCAATGTTGTGTCCGAAAAAAAATCATAGCAACCAACCAACCAACTCACCACCCAAACAAACAAACAACTAACTAAGCAACCAATCAACCAACAAACCAAAAAAACAACCAACCAAATAACAAAAACCAAAGCCTGATGTAGGAGGATCATCTGTCTATGTGTTACTTTCATTGGTTAATAAAGAAACTGCCTCGGCTTTTGATAGGACAGCAGCTTAGATAGGCAGAGTAGGCAGAACAGGATGCTGGGAGGAAGAAGCAGAGTCAGTCAGATGCTATGACTCTCCTCTCCAAGATGGACGTGGGTTAGAATCTTCCCGGTAAGCCATGACCTCGTGCTGCTACACACATTATTAGAAATGGGTCAATTGATATGTGAGAGCTAGCCAATAAGGGGCTGGAGACAATGGGCCAGGCAGTGTTTAAATGAATGCAGTTTCTGAGTAATTATTTTGGGGATAAGCTAGCCGGGATCCAGGTGGGAACGCAGCCCGCCATTCCTTTTTCAAAAGCCTCTCAAAATTAGTTTGTGCTGCCAAAATAATTCTGGATGTGTGGTCTTTCACTGGAATATGGTCAGCGTATAAAGGAATACACACTTAGAAGAAACTGTCATATTCTCTTCTAACAGTAACAATTGACATGTGTTCTATGCCTAGGGGTAGGAACATAGGAGGAATATCTACCTGCTAGGATTGTTTTTACATGTGACAAGTGGAGAAACTGACTGTGCTTCATTCTACATTTATTCAACAAGTTTGCATATTGAACAGTCTTGATGTATCGAGACAGTATCTCTCTGCAAAGAAATGTGAATCATGTTTAATAAAGTAAACAGCCAATCTCCTTGTCAAAGAGTCAGCCATGCTTACTGTAAATAATATGTATTCCCATTACTCAAAGTTTTTCTTTTTTTATTCAACCTATTGAATGTTCATGTGCCATTGAATTGTTTCACTTTATGTTCTGTAAACTAGAAATGCAGGAACTGATGCAAAAGTGACCTTACTTTGGCTACAGATATTGTCATGAGTAACAAATTCTCATATCCCTAACCCAGAAGTTTCAGAGTGTCTACCGCCATGTACAAAACATATCTAGCTAGTTTATGCATTTGTAAGTAATATAATAATCTCGACCTTCCATATTATTGACAGTTATTTGAAGCAAATTGATGAGTGGGAAGAATGGATAATGGTAGCAGAGTGGGAATGTTAGATGCTATTTTCTTCTTTCTTTCCTTCCTCCCTTCCTTCCTTCCTTCCTTTCTTCCTTTCTTTCCCACCCTCCTGATGATATAAGTCACAAAACAATCACACACCAGTTCAGAATTATGAATAATAAAGGGGTTATTTATTTAAAAGAAAAACCTTACAGATCACTGTCCTAGACAAACAGTTCTATGAGTGAACAGGAACAGAGTCTAGGAACCAGAATCTGGAGCCAGAAGCAAGAGCTGGCATATAGTTACTGCTGCTTTTACAGTATAAGAGACCACACCCAAGTGGTATGGTATCTCAAAGGTTATTGGATGAAGGAGCAGAATGTGCTCCCACAGCACCCTCCCTCTCTTCTTCCTTCCTTTCTTCTTTTTCCCCCTCCTTCATTCCTTTCTTCTTTTCTTCCTTCTCATTTTGAAACAGGGCCTCTCTACAAAGCTTTGCCTGTTCTTGAACTCACTATGTAGACCTGGCTGGCCTCAAATTCACAGAGTTCTGTTTGCTTCTACTTTCTGAGTACTGAATTAAAGGTATGAGCAACTATGCTCTATTTTCTTTCTTATAACTTAATACTTTTTATTAATTTTTTGGGAGTGTCACAATGATTATTATATTGTTATCATATTTGACTCCTCCATTTCCCCTAACTCCTCCTAGATCAATTTCAACACCTCCCAACCTCATGTGTTCTTTTTATTCTTACTTTTAAAAAGGAGTTCAGTTTGTGCTGCTCATATGCTCAGCATGACTCACTTACTAGGTGCCACACACTTAATGAAAGCTAACCAGCCATCAGCTATCAATAGCTCCTCAGCTAAATGTAGGTATGGCTTACAATACCTTGAAAAACAGTAATGCTATTAAAGCCAGACCAGTAGCATTGATTATATTTTCCAGACCCTAGTGAATCCTTAAGATTTTGTCTCATGTATCAAGTTGGAAACCACCTCTGTGATATGTTTTAAAGGCTGCTGTAATCCTGTCTTATGTTACCCATTACTTGGATCACTCCTTTCATTATCACAACTTAGATTTGTACTCTGGATATTGTGTCAGGAGCTATGGGAAAGTGAGCTGATTCTCCCTCCCTCTCTGCTTGATTTATTTTTCTTTTGAAAAGTACTCACCTCCCATGTGGCACAGAAATCCACTGTGTCCAATAATAATTTCCCTTGTTCATCTACTGGAAAATCATTATCCCCTGGCTGAAAGAGAAGTGTTTGTTAAAGAAATCTCACAAAACACGTCTCACCTATAGTAATGCTTTTAAGAATGTCTTGAAGGAGTTGGAGAGATAGATCAATGATTATTCAATGGTTTCTTTTGTAGAATGTTATTTGAAAGTGTGTTACATTTGTTTATGCTGTGGAACATTTGTTTAATGATGTAAAGATGCTTTACTTTTTTATGCTACATCTCTTTAACTCTGTGAAGCTATGATTCTTTGCCTGTCTAAAACACCTGGTGGTCTAATAAAGAGCTGAATGACCAGTAGTGAGGCAGGAGAAAGGATAGGCAGGGCTGGCAGGCAGAGAATATACATAGAATGAGCAAGCATCAAGGGAGCAAGGAGAGGAGGACGCTAGGGGTCAGGCACATAGACACCCAGCCTGTTGCAGAGGAAAAGTGAAAGTAAGATTACAGAAATAAGAAAAGGAAAAATCCCAGAGGTAAAAGGTAGAGGGGAAAGAAGTGAGCGGTTAAAAGCTAGCTAGAAACAAGCCACATTAAAGCCAGGCATTCATAAGTAATAATAAGCCTCTGTGTGTGTGATTTATTTGGGAGCTGGATGGCAGGCCTCCCAAGAGAGTTCAAAGAGTAAAGAAAAAAAAACACCATAACAACAACAGCTTCTCTTTCAAAGGACCTGGGTTCAATTTCCAGCACCTTCATAATGGTCACAACCTTTTGAAATTAAGTCCCCTGGGGTCCAATGTCCTCTTCTGTCCTCCACAGACACTAGTACAGAGATATACACACAAGCAAAATAGTAATACACATTAAACAAATATTTTTCAAAAAAATGTAAAGAATATCTTAGACATAAGAGAGTAAGCTTCCATAAAGTGAGGCATGATCCTATACAGTGTGTTTACAAAGTGATACACATGTAGAGTTGTAAAAATTATCTTTACGAGCCTAGTTTTGCATTGTTCTCTTATGTCAATTATATGAATAAATAAATATTTTCTTATTTTATTTTTGAAATTAAAATAGAATTACACTATTTAATTAATTTAATTAATCCCACTCCTCACTCCAGTGCCTCACATGTATGCCCTTGCTGTATTTGAAATTCATGTGTTCTTTTGCTTTAACTGTTGCCACACAAACACCCAGATGCACACACACACATGTACATGTACACCTGCACCTAAACAGTATTTCCAAACAACAAACTGAGCCCTACTAGTGGACTAGTGGACTTGTATTTTTTTTTTTTTTGGTCTACTCCTTCTTTTGGAAAAAAG